TTCTTCCCCATAGTGTTACTGAAAACTAGTAGTTAATAGCAAAGAAAACTAGAACATTAGAAAATCAACTTCCAAATAATATGAAAACTAAACATCACACCTTTGAACAATGGGCCAGTAAGACATGACAAAGGAAATCACAAACTATCTTGAGATGAATGAAAATGCAGCCACAGCAGATTCAGACTCCAGGAATCAATCATAAAAGCAGCCCTGACATGGCTATTTGCAACTGTAGTGGCCTAAGAAGGAAACATCTCAAACCATCCACCTTCCTTTTCACCTTATGGAAATACTGAAAACCAGTTGATAGGACATCTCATTAAAAAGACAAAGGGACAAAACTACGCGGTCCTCTCGATTCATGGAGAGGAAAGGTTTAGTAAAATCCAGTACTTTTCGTCTTCTTTATTTGGTTTTTGGACCTCACTCAGCAGTGCTGACTCAGGGGTTACTCCTGGCCCTGTTGTTCAGGGATCATTCCTGGAAGGGCTGGGGAGAGGAGAATCCTGTAGGGTACTAGGAATTGAACCCGGGATGGACATGCATGCATGCAAGGCAAGCACCCTGCCCACTGTACTGTCTCATCAGCCCCTAAAATCAAATACTTTTTCATGATAAAAATAAAACTTATTTCTAAATTCAGAAATACAGGAGTAGAAGGTAATTTCCTCAAATTTATGAAGGACATTCGTCAAAAACCCAGCATTCACTCATTGAAGTTTCTTAAAACTTCTTAAAATTGGGAACAAGAATGACTGCCTTTGCCCCTGCTTATAGTTGGAGCATCTAGGAAAGGAAAAAGAAGTAAAATTACTTCTGTTTACTCCTGATCCTGTAAAGGGAAACCTCTACATAGGGAAAATATTAGAGAAAAATCTAAGGAATCTACAAAAATAATTCAAAGTAATGAATAGATTCAGCACAGTTGCAGACTGAAAGATCAACACACAAATAGAACTCATGTTTCTATGCAGTAGCGAGGAGAAATGCAAGAAGGGAATTGTGAAAAACATTTGTTTTCAATAGAAACAAAAGGAGCGAAATAGTCAGGAATCAACTAAGGAGATACTTATAAATGGAAGACTATAAGCTTTTTCCTGAAGAGAAATTTTTTAAAGTCCCCAGTAAATAGAATCTGCGTTTGCACCTTTGAAGACTGTTAACACAGTACTACTACCATGAGTAATTAGAGGGTGAATACAGCCCCTCTCAAATCCCAGTGTCCTCCTTACAAAAATGGAATCACTAATCCTAAAAAACCAATGGGACTAGTTATTGGAATAGCTAAAGCAACCTCGGAAAAAGGAGAATGACGTTGGAGGAGACACACATCAAGACTTCAAACTTTCTACGTGACTGTAATATCCGTGTGATCGTAAGAGAACGAAAAGACACGATTATGAGAGAATATTTACAAAAGGACCATTACCTGTTAAAACTCAACCAGAAGGAAATTACCGATCCTAGTCACAAGGGACAAAAGGCCCGACAGCTCTCCAAAGAAGACACTCAACCATCAAGCCTAGGAAAAGATCCTCCTCATCAGGCATCCTAAAGGAATTGCAGGTGGAAACCATGAGACGTGGGCTCACCCCCATGAGAAGTGCCCACCCAGAACTGGCAAGGGGCTGGAACAAAGGAGCTCGTGCTCACTGTTGGGGGTACGGACACAAGGGTAGGGACCATTTTGGACACAGCCAGATGCTTTCTCAGAAGGCTGAAGATACCCTTGCTCTGTGGGCAGCAGCCTTTCTCCTTGGCGTTTGCCCAATGAATGAGAAGCTGGTGTTTGCACAGAAACCTGTGCGTACCTGGATTGATCACAGTTCCCAAAATCTCACAAAATTTCACAATCAGGATGACTCTCCGTGAGGACAACGGTAAATTGTGGTGCCTTTGGATAGTGGCACATCCCTCAGCATTAGAAAGAAGAGACCTACTGGGGCCTGGCCGACCTGGTTTCAATCCTCAGCACCCCATATGGTCCCCCCGAGTCTGCCAGGAGTGCATCACCTGATGGGTGGGAGGGAGGGAGGGAGGGAGGGAAGGAAGGAAGGAAGGAAGGAAGGAAGGAAGGAAGGAAGGAAGAAAAAGGGACTTATCACACCATGAAAAGACATATGTATGTAATCACACACATATTCCAACTCCTACTGAAAGTTTAGCACCATAGCACTGTCCTCCTGTTGTTCATTGATTTGCTCGAGCGGGCACCAGTAATGTCTTCATTGTGAGTCTTGTTGTTACTGTTTTTGGCATATAGAATATGCCACGAGCATATAGAATATGCTCAGGGGTTACTCCTGGCTCTGCCGTGTGGGCGGGATACTCTTGGTAGCTTGCCAGGCTCGCAGAGAGGGACAGAGGAATCGAACCTGGGTCGGCTGCGTGCAAGGCAAACACCCTACCCACTGTGCTATCACTCCAGCCCAACTGAAAGTTTAAAGTCTGAGAAATAATGATCATATATGATCTGTGGGTTTTGACAAGAACGATGAGACCATTTCGTGAAGGAAAGGTTAGTCTCCTCAACAAAGAGTACTGAGACAGCCACAAGTTTGCATGTTGAGATGAAGTTGGACTCTTGCATTGAGCAGTGAAGGAATTCAGGATGGATCAAAAGATCTGCTAACTACTAAAGCTCTTCAAAGCCTAATAGAAAAATCCTGCTAACCCAGCATTTGATGGTGGTTTCTTAGATGTTACAGTGTAGGTAAAAAGGAACATACACACACACACACACACAAAACATAATTAAAATGAAAAACTTTTCATCAAAATTAAAAGCCTTTGTGTGTAAAGGGATGTATGTAGTCAAGGAAATGCAAAGTAATCCATTGAATAGGAAAGAAATATTTCTGGATCATATATCTGGTAAGGGCCTTATATATAGAATATGTAAACAACTCAACAATATAAAGACAAGTACCCCAGTTAAAATAGGGACAGAAATTTATTTTAAATTAGTTTTTATTAAAAACACCGTGTTTTACAAAGTTGTTCATTATACAGTTGTTTCAAGCATTTAGGGTTCCAGCAACCATCAGTGTGACCTTCCCTCCACCAATATGCCCAGTAAGGGACAGAAATTCTGAATGAGTGTTTCTCTAGAGAAGTGACGCTTAGAAACGGTAAGCTTGAGGGAAGATGTTCTGCACTGCTGGCCATCGGGACGTATCTAGAATGCGCTAAGTTTCGACATATATACATTTTTTTTCTTTTTGGGTTGCACCCAGCTATGCTCAGGGGTTACTCCTGGCTCTGCACTCAGGAATTACTCCTGGCGGTGCTCAGGGGACCCTATGGGATGCTGGGAATCGAACCTGGGTCGGCCGCGTGCAAGGCAAACACCCTACCCGCTGTGCTATTGCCCCAGCCCCTAAGTTTCGGTATTTTTAAGAAATTCTCTAGCCCGCCTTAGTTTCGCTGCCATGTGGGATCCCGTAAAGGGTCATGGGTGGCTTATTTCCAGCTGCAGTGAGGTCTTGGGGTAGCTTGGCGCGCCCCGTGAAGTGTACAGGGTCTCAGAGGGTGGAAAGAGGAGAAGGTGGAGGAGCGGGAATGCTCCTGTGTGTGTTGGTGTGGTCCCATGAGGAGGCATTGGACCACATGTGACGAACTCTGCCTCATCCCATGGTTTGGGCGACCAGAACATGAAACCCAGCTGCACACTTTCAGAGAATCTGAGAGAGTAGTCCAGAAAGTCTAGGATTCCAGTCACATTAGTTTATTTTTTTATTTTTTTGTGGGGGTTGGGAGATGGCCAGGCACACCTGACAGTGCTCAGGGCTGACTCCTGGCTTCTGTGCTCAGGTATCTCTCCTGAAGGGCTCCAGGGACCACAGAGGGTGTTGGGAATCGAACCTGGGTCAGCTGTGTGCAAGGCAAGCACCCTCTCCACTCTCCTATCTCTCCGGCCCCTAGCCACACTTGTTTTCCAGGTGAATAAATGAAGTTGCTGGTCCTTTTTTTTTTCCCCACTCTGAGAGCATGAAAGGACAGGGCCAACTTGCAGTGGGTCCAGCTCACAAGCGTGGCTATTCCGGGCTGTCTCTGGGCGGGATGCAGGAGTTGGGGCAACCATGGGTGTTTCTCCACCTTTAGATTCTGATGGGAGCACCCCTACTGCAGGGAAATCCACATGGCAGGGAAGAGAAGGGCTTCTCCTTTCCCAAAAGATTCTTTTCAGTACTGAACATTCCTGCCTTCAAAACTTTGTTTTGGAAGCATCACTTCAACCATGGTGTTGGAATCAGTTTGAAATGACTTTGTTTTTGAATGTCATTTTAAAAATTAAGTTTTGGGGGCTGGGGAGAGAGTACAGAGGTCGGGTGCTTGCCTTGGACACGGCTGACCTGGGTTCGATCCCGGTGTCCCATAGGGTCCCCTGAGCACCACCAGGAGACCGGGAGTGAACCCTGCATGCAAATCCAGGAGTGAGCCCTGAGCATCGCTGGGTGTGGCCCCCAAACTCAACAAAACAAAACAGCATCCCAAGATTTTTTTTATCCCCCTCTTCCAGGGCCCCTTCAGACTTCCCTCAGCTCTTGATTTCCACCCTAATATGCATATCTTTGAGCCCCATTTTGAAACACCAGTAGGAGCAATTGCTAACTGATTACTAAGTGCCCATTTTTAGCATCCCGTCTCATGCCTTGCATTTCCAGAACCTTACAGGCTGTATGTAGGACATCTCGAGAGAGAGGCTCAGATAAGCTATTTTTTTCCTCCCCTTCCCAAAGGCTGCCAAGAGGTAAGAGTCCTGAGGCTGATAAATAGTTCACAGTGCCACTGCGTATCTCCGGGCAGGCTCACTTGGCCGTGGTTGGGAGTCGGCCCAGGGTGGGAGAGTGAGCAGAGGAACACAGGCGTGGAGAGAATCCCGGGAGCTCGCCAGGCCCCAGCTAGGATGCAGTGCACGGCGCTCACGAAGCCCGTTTGGCAGCCCACGTGTGGGCAGGGGGTGATCTAACGCCTGTTTTATCTTTCCGCTGCAGCACCTGCCCTTATAGTCGGCCTCCCTTTGGCTATGGCAATTTCCCCAGCTCCATGCCAGAATGCCTCGGTTATTATGAAGACAGATACCAAAAGCACGAGGCTATATTTTCAGCTTTAAACAGAGACTATCCTTTTAGAGACTACACTGAGGAACGCACGCACAGCGAAGATTCTCGAAGTTGTGAGAGCCTGGACGGGACCCCTTACTATAACAGTAACAGCCACAGCGGGGAAGAGTACCTGGGCCCCATGCCACAGCTGGACATGGGCGCCCTGGATAACGTCTTCACGGCCCCGACGGCGGCTCCTTCCAGCATCCAGAAAGTCAACGTCACTGACAGTGATGAGGAGGAAGAAGAAAAAGTACTCAGGAATTTATAATTTAAAAAAAAAACAAAATATGCACAGAAAATAAACATTTCTTAAAATATCGGCTGGGTCAGTTGGTGTGAGAGAAAAAGAAAAAAAAAAGGCTCTGAATGCTTTTTCTGGGAGTTTTCAGCCAGTTTGAGGAGTTCAAAGCCAAACGCCAAACCCAATTCCTGTCTTCATAAAGTTTTGCTTAGTGAAACTGGAGTCCAGATGTGTCATCGTAGGATATGATTTAAGATATGAAATAGTTTATTTTTATGGCTGAAATTTGCATCGACCTTACTTATCATTACTTTTATCTTGGAGCGTGCGAAGTACTGAATCCTCACAACTGCATGTGTGGAGCCAGGGGAATATGGATCTGGCATGACAAGTCTGATTTGTATTTTATCTCAGGATGCATTTTTTTGTGTGTGTTTATGTAATACTGTGGATATTGTCAGTTTCTATGTAACATTTTGAAAATATTTTGATAAATTTTTAGTAGCGAGATTGGGATTGTGACTAAATTTAATTTACACTCATGACCAATTATATCGCAAATGTTTTAATGGCACCTGGCTGATTCCCTCAGCTCAATTATTCTGTTCTAAATATTTTTATCACCCTTTTTTTGCATAACTTTTTCCATTTGGCATGCCTTGTTCTACTTTTGTTATACTTAAATAAATATAGATGAAAGTGTTCTTGTTGGGTGTTTTCTATTGGGTGACAGAAAGAGGCAATACAGGTGTTGCTCAAGTCAGCATGATATCCTACCACACACAGACAGTGATTTCTGCTGCAGAGTCTTCAGAACTGTGTTGACACAAGATCTAGAAATCTGCAGAGAGGGGTCAGAGCCATAGGACAGTGGGGAGGGCGCCTACCTTGCACACCACTGACCCGGCATTCCCTGTGGTTGCCCAAGCCCAGCCAGGAGTGATTCCTGAGTGCAGAGTCAGGAGTAATAAACCCTGAGCACTGCCAGGTGTGGCCCAAAGACAGACAAAATAGCAGCAGAGAGAGGTTGTGTGCATGTTTGGATGTCATTTCCAAACCACATACATGTGGCTTGGGCACTTCTCCCAAAATGGAAAAAGTTTTCCAGATTTGTTTCAGGAAGCAGACGTGTTCCCAACCAACAAAGTTCATTGAGGAGCACCTGGGTTTTAGATAATTAAATAGCATGGTTTGGGGCCATACCTGGAGTTCTCAGGGTTTGCTCCTGGCTCTGTGTTCAGGAGTCAGGAATCACTTCTGGTGGGCTCGTGGGACCCTACGGGACGTTGGGGATTGAACCCTGGACGGCTGCTTGCAAGCGAAGTGCTCCAACAACTCTACCAGCATTCTCTGGCCCTGAGCACATGACGTTTCATTCAGAATGAGCCCTGAAAGTTGGCTTGTGCCTTTGTGACCTTTTGGTAAGTATACCCACTCAGGACTGGAGAGAACCCCCCCTTTTTGGGGGCTTTCAGGGTCACACCCGGCGATACTCAGGGGTTACTCCTGATTCTGCACTCAGGAATTACTCCTGGTGGTGCTTGGGGGACCCTATGGGGTGCCGGAGATTGAACCTGGATCGGCCATGTGCAAGGCAAACACCTTACCTGCCGGACTATTGCTCTGACCCTGAGAACTCCTTTTAGAACAGAATTGGGTCCATTGAAGTTGCCACTGTACCTCCACAAGGCACAGAGGGAACCCATGATCAGAAAACTCACCAACAAATCCACATTCCCCTCAGTGATCTGTGTCCTTCTGCTACTTGAGCACTTGCTACTTGACATTGCTTGCAAACTGTGTGGAAACCTCTTCTGAGCTGCTAATTTCTTCCTTTACCAAATTCATCCTCTTGGTTCCTTAAGCCAAGGTGCTTCATGGAACATGTCATCAAACCCATACTTAATGATAAATATCTTATTTATTTTTTTCCTATTTTCTATCCTTTAGGACTCTAGGCATGGGTTCAAGGGGAAAATATTCCGAATTTCTTAACGGACAGAAAGCAAGGAGATCACTACCCATGGGAACTGGAGCAGCATTTGACCATCTGTTAGCACGTTTGGTATCTGTGTACCATGAAGGGTCTGTGTGTGTGTGTGTGTGTGTGTGTGTGTGTGTGTGTGTGTGTGTGTTGCCCTTGTCTCCCCGCCTTCCCCCCTGGACACAGCCTGGGGCGGGGTCACAGGCCTCATTCTCCTAAGCATGTGCTGTCAGGAAGTGGGGGAACTGTGTCTCCCTGAGTCAGTGCTCCCTTCTGATCTTCAGGTCAGCCCTGCAGTGCACTCCCTTAACCATCTCTTCGATGGCCCCTGAACCACAGATGATTTCCCCTCTCTCCAGAGCCTTAGAGCATCCTCAGTACCATCCAGGCAGCCCAAGGGGCGAGCCGCAGAGAAACGCCTGGCGTGCCCAGCTCTGTGTGTGTCTGCCAAAGTGCCACCTTAGAATCTCTGCCTACTCTGACCCGGGGTGGGAGAGAAGCCAAGTCCTGCCTCTTTGGCACAACCTCACCTGCCTCTCCCAAGTCCTCACGGGGTAATTCTTAACCCCGAAACCACAAGCACTTTCTAGCTGGTCTCGTTGCCTTGATTGCCCTTGTTATAAAATGGGGAGTGGGGTGGGGGGAGGGTTGATATTTGCCCAGAGCGTGGCCTCATTTTGGAGCACGTTGAAATGTCAGCATATTGAGAATGTCACTCAGGCGGTTCTGTGCTTTGGACAAAGCAGTTCTGGTTATTTGCAAACAGAAAATGCCACCCCTGCAAATAGACTGAAATTACATTTTGTCCCTGGGAATATTTTTTTTAAGCGTGTTTTTTTGGGACCCAGACCTTTTTTTCTTTTTCACTTTAAAATTTTTTAATTTTACTTTTTTTACCATTTTGGAGTCATACCCAGCAATGTTCAGGGGATACTCTGCACTCAGGAATGATTCCTGGTGGGGCTCAGAGGCCCCCATGGGGTGCTGAGGATCGAACCCAGGTTAGCCACTTACAAGACAAATGCCCTCCCTGCTGGACTATTGCTCCAGTCTCTTTTAAAAATTTTAATGTGGACAAAAGCCACAACTTTGATACAATTCTAGAATTGAACTTGATTAGCTAGAAAAGCTCCAGCAACCTTAAAATCATTAAGTATAAGAAATAAAAAATCTTTTTTGTGCGTGTGTGTGAAAATTGTTACATCTGATCACAGGGTGGTTGAGTCCTTGTCTTAAGAATCTTCTAAGCTGTTTCTAGTTGTGTCTTCTGTGGTATTGTTTTTGTTGAGTTTAGTTGGCATCTGTTACTTTTCCGTCTGGTGTGCTCTGACTGGAAATTCAGTTTGGAGAAATTAGGAGGTGTCGCACAGCTGTGTATGGGACCCACAGCTGTGTATGTGTTTTAGATACTCCGATGATATTTGCTCAGGCAAGTTTGGGGAACACATGTTGTACCCTGGCCCTCCTTCGTGTCCTGCAAAGCAATGAAGAGCCATGTTTGTCTCAGGACCACCCAAGCTCATTTAGACCCCGCTTTTAATTTCTTTTTCTTCTTTTTTTTTTCTTTTTGGGTCACACCTGGCGATGCACAGAGGTTACTCCTGTCTCATGCACTCAGAAATCACTCCTGGCCGTGCTCGGGGGACCATATGAGATGCTGGGGATCGAACCCAGGTCGGCCACGTGCAAGACAAATGCCCTACCCACTGTGCTATCGCTCCAGCCACACTGCTTTTAAATTTTTAACCTAATATCTACGAACCTTTTAGAGAAAACGTTTTGGAAAATGCTGACCCGGTTATAACTGGCTTTGTTTTGTTTTGTTTTCATTCGTCAGCTGAATACAATTTTCTGCATTGATAGTGTTATTTATTTATTTATTGGTTTGGGGGTCAGACCCAGCAATGTGCAGGAGGTTACTCCTGACCCTGTGATCAGCAGTTGGGGCCATGGGTGGTGTCAGGATTTATTTGAACTGAGATTGTTAAGGTTGTTATTGTTGAGATTGTTGAGGTTGAAGGTTGCTATCTCCTGTTCTATCTCTCTTGCCCCTTAAATATTTTTAAGTGGAAGTTGATCTTGTATTCAAGAATTCCAGTGTGGGGCTGGAGAGAGAGTACAGTGGGTAGGGTGCTTGCTGGCACATGGCCGACCCGGATTTGGTCTTCAGCACCCCATATGGTCCCCCAAGTTCACCAGAAATAAGACCTGTGCACTACCCAGGTGTGGCCCCAAAACCTAAAATAAAATATAATTCCATTGTGAGCAAGTGTGCTAACAAGTATTTTTCATTGGGTAAAACCTGGTTGTCAGGAGGATTATTCCTGGATAATAATAATAATAATAATAATTTGATTATCCTTTCAGTCTAAAAGTAGACTGGAAGGTCAAAGTCTATTTTGGAAAGGAGCTGTTGGGACTGATTTTTCACCTGAAATTTTGGGTCGGCTGTGAACTTCTTGTGATATTTGAAAGTTGCTTCCTTGGCTTGTGTAATTCTGAAGAATCTGCCATCCTGGTGGGAAGGGAATCTGCTAAGGCAAGTCCTCTTTTAGCATTCTGCATTAAATAAACGTTGGAGCGCTCAAGAATCCGAAAATTCCAAAAAGCCTCACCCACCACGTGTAGGAGGAAGATCTTTCTACCGAACTCCACCTCATGACAAATCCCATATCCTCTCATCTGAATTACCCTTTATCTCTACCATCTGCATTCTAACCGCCTGGTCCCTTTTTCCCCACCTCCCTTGGGCTGACTGACACATGAGTCTTCAAGAACATTTTTACCAGGGGAGTCACAGTCACGGGTCTTCCCGTTGTTCATCAATTTGTTCAAGCGGGCCCAGTAACGTCTCCATCATGAAACTTGTTGTTACTGTGTCTGGCATATGGAATACATCACGGGTAGGGAGTAATGGTTTTTTTTTTTTTTGGTGTTTTGTTTTGTTTTATTTGTTTTGGGTCACATCTGGAGATGCTCAAGGGTTTCTCCTGGCTCTGCACTCAGGAATCCCTCCTGGCGGTGCTCGGGGGACCCTTTGGGA